GACAAGACGTCCTGCACAGATCGGTGTGAGGGTAAACTGTAAAAACCTCAAACAAGTGACACAGAACCATAGGCTGACAGTGAAAGATCTGCACTGATTAAGATATCCAGACACATGATAACGCCATAAAGTAAAACACTGACAAAACAGTGTTCATGGGAGGTTATCATAGAAAAAAAGCACTGATTTCCAGAAACAAAACATTGTTGCCCATCTCAAGTTTGCAGGAGACTTTCCAGGATGTTCTGAAACTCTACTGGAAAAATTTAAGATGATATGCAAAAGAACATTTTGGTAACGTTAAATTTCTCTTACAGTGATATTTCCCCTAAAACTTAAAATTCATGTCATCAACACTTACTTTAAAAAAATATATATATCTTCTAAAATATCTACTGTTTTCCACTGAAGAAAGTCAGTCAGACAAAAGAGCATTATGCAACTACATTTCAGAAACATTTCCTTCAGAAATCAAGATATTTCCATTGAATTGGTAGGTGAAAGCATTTATTCACTAAAATATGGCACAGAAGAACATTTTGAGAGCACATTTTCAGAAACCATTCCTTCAGAAATCAAGATATTTCCAATGGATTGGAATCATTTATTCATTAAAATATGGCACAGAAGAACATTCTGAGAGCACATTTTCAGAAACCATTCCTTCAGAAATCAAGATATTTCCAATGGATTGGAATCATTTATTCATTAAAATATGGCACAGAAGAACATTCTGAGAGCACATTTTCAGAAACCATTCCTTCAGAAATCAAGATATTTCCAATGGATTGGAATCATTTATTCATTAAAATATGGCACAGAAGAACATTCTGAGAGCACATTTTCAGAAACCATTCCTTCAGAAATCAAGATATTTCCAATGGATTGGAATCATTTATTCATTAAAATATGGCACAGAAGAACATTCTGAGAGCACATTTTCAGAAACCATTCCTTCAGAAATCAAGATATTTCCAATGGATTGGAATCATTTATTCATTAAAATATGGCACAGAAGAACATTCTGAGAGCACATTTTCAGAAACCATTCCTTCAGAAATCAAGATATTTCCAATGGATTGGAATCATTTATTCATTAAAATATGGCACAGAAGAACATTCTGAGAGCACATTTTCAGAAACCATTCCTTCAGAAATCAAGATATTTCCAATGGATTGGAATCATTTATTCATTAAAATATGGCACAGAAGAACATTCTGAGAGCACATTTTCAGAAACCATTCCTTCAGATATCAAGATATTTCCAATGGATTGGAATCATTTATTCATTAAAATATGGCACAGAAGAACATTATGCAACTACATGTTCCTTCAGAAATCAAGATATTTCCAATGGATGATGGTTTCCCCCCCGTGTCATTTCTCGATGGATGCTACTATAGTTTCAAAGGCAGAGCTGGGATTTCTTCCGCACGTTTTTCACACAGTGTGGAGACAGAAAAATGCTTTTGTTGATCCAGTCTTACCTATGGAGTCGGGTGTCGCCTGGGGCCCCACGGCCTGTTTCAATAGGTCAGACATTCCAGCATCCGTGTTCTTTTGTGAACTCCAGCTCGGAGGCTGCAGTGGCCTTTAATCCGAGGGTAAATCACCGTAGACCGGAGTCCCGTAATGCCCTGCTTCACTTCCACTGGGGGATTTAGCCGATCGGGGGGTGACGAAGAACTTCTGTGCGAAGGTGGTCAGGCGAGTGATTCGTTTAAGTTATGCTAGGAGCGAAAGTAACAACAAACTCAACTCGCTGCCCTTGTGTGGCGTGACCCAAAGCCGAGCGTGGGGCCGCACTCGTTCCCGACTCGTTTAATCTGTCACTTGTGTCTAACGTCATCTCAGAAGTTCCTCTTTTTGCAAAATTCCTCCTTTTGTTCCTCACGGCTCCTCTCATAGTCATGTGGTCGCATGATCCACTCTCATGGAAACGTCATTGTCTTTAACATCTTTCTCAGCAGACACAAATGAGAAGCAGTAAACTCACAACTGACACATTTAGGTCGGTTTAGGAGGAACTTCTGAGACAAAGGTGATTGTTAATTCATGCATTATTACTTTGTTAGCTACCTCTCCTGAGCTATAAAAGGCAACCTCTGTGCAAATAACATTTCCTCGCTTGAAATAGGGCACAGGGTGGGTTGTGGTCTATACCTGTGGTTCCTCTGTAGTCAAATTGTTCGTCACAAACCCTAGATATTCTCCTTTACCTCAGAACAATATGTTATTGTTTAGATGTTGATCTTAAGTATAACCTTAAAGTTTTTAGTTCTACATTTCTTTCTCAGATGTTTCTTCTAATTCAATGGTTGATGACCAGTTAGCGTTTAGAGATAAAAATGAATGTGCCCAGCAGCTCAGATCATTTGTGAGCCTGGAGCATAAAAGCAGTCTTAAGTCGCTGGGGTATATTTGTAGCGATAGCCAAAAGTATATTGTAAGGGTCAAAATTATTGATTTTTATTTTATGCCAAAAAACATTAGGATATTAAGTAAAGATCATGTTCCATGAAGATATTTAGTAAATTTCCTACCGTAAATATATCAAAACGTAATTTTTGATTAGTAATATGCATTGCTAAGAACTTCATTTGAACAACTTTAAAGGCGATTTTCTCAATATTTTGATTTTTTTTTTGCACCCTCAGATTCCAGATTTTCAATTAGTTGTATCTCGGCCAAATATTTTCCTATCCTAACAAAGGAAAGCTTATTTATCCAGCTTTCAGATGATGTATAAATCTCAATTTCGAAAAATTGACTCTTATGACATGGTTTTGTGCTCCAGGGTCACATTTTGTCTTGGGAGAATTTATGAGTTAATCTTTGACTTGTTAAGCAGTTTGAGATGCTTATTGGCATCTCTGGTGTTTAACATCCATATACTCTTAAAAATGAAGGATCCAAAAGGGAGTTTTCACAGTGATGCCATAGAAGAACCATTTTTTTGTTCCACAAAGAACCTTTCGGTGAACTGATGCAAATAAAGAACATTTATTTTTTTTTAAATGCACGAAAGGTTCTTTTGATTATTAAAATGTTCTGATCGCTGAAAGGTTCTTTGGGGATCCCTTTATTTGTGAAACTCTGGATGAGACATTAGAGAATACTGTGCCTGTAATGTGAGATCTTTAGCTCAGGAAAATGTTTCCATGTGCTCTCAGTGCTGTCTAGGAGACACAGCTGTGATATTAAAGGTTGCATCTGTTCATTTGATTTCCTATGAGCAGGAAGAAGGAGGTGAACGCCTTCATGAAGCTGGGAATGAGAGGCACTCCTCGTCTGGGTCACTGCGGGTCTGTTTGTACACAATCGCTTGAGAGGCTCCACCCAAGTGTCTGCCGGCTGATGCAATGCGACCGGCGAATATAAACCGATCTCAGCAGCATCAGACTGTGATACCGGACGCGGCCAAAGGACATCTCCGTTTATCTTCTACATTATTATTATTACAGATTGTAGGGTTTATAAGTATTGCAGTATTTATATGTATGCTTAATGTACTTTATCAATCTTAGGGTATTTATTTGTTATCTATCAAGTAGTAATTGATCACTGGAACATTCTTCACGACTGGGAGGGTTTGGTGATATTTTTTTCATTCATACCGGAGCTGAACAAACGGATTTCTCTTTTTTTTTTAATTATTATTATTATTATTATTCTTCTTGAGGTAAGATCTCATCCCGTTTTCAAGTTTTTTGATGTTTTAGATGTCTTCCCTGACCTTTTTATTTATTTTTTTAAACCTGAACACACTGTAATCGCGTTTATTTTATCTGTTTTTAGACTCGTGTTTCATCATCATCACCGTTCACACACTCTAATGATCTAATAAAATTATTCATGTGGTTTGGGAGTTTAAACGGAAATTTAACACTGGTCACGGTCTAAAATAGTCACCAGAATCCGTTTAAATAGGTTGAAATAGTCACCCGACAAGAAAAAAAAGCCTTAATTGGTTATGTCTAATCGTTTTGTTCCGAATATATAAATATAGACTGATGAGACGTCGGTATTGTCGGTGCCGGTTGTAATTTTCCACTCAGTTCTTGGCTGGTCACGTGACGTCTGCTAAACCGCAGATTACTGTGTAAATTACTCGCGAGCGACTGTCAAATAAACATTAAGGAGAATGGTTTACCATTTCTGCTTTTTTAAATAATAATAACTAAATCTTTAGACTACAATGGAAATGTTTCGGTAAAAATTATAATTAGCAAATTTGAGGTCAAATGCGTGTTTAGGCAAGTGTTGCTCGCTTGAGGAACTTCGAGTATCTCATTTAAATAATATTTTAAATAGTTTTCCTGTGCACCATTGTTTCCTGTTATGTAAAGATATTTCTGTAATGCTGTTTCATTTCATTATATA